GCTCTGCCTGCCACCTGAAAAAGATGGATGCTTCTTGGGGACCAACTGAACAAAGTGGCAAAATCTCTCGCCCCGAAGAGAGAGGTGTTCTTTTAGTGGCCTGCTGGAATGGAGGTGGTGATATTGACATGCACTGCACGGAATCTTTTCCTGTGTAGTTCATAGCTTGATTGAGTTGGACACGGAAACCTTTAGAGCAGGGCTGTGTTAACATCTGAGGATATCTTTCTTGGCATCTGAATCTTTTTGATTTTAAAGTTTTACAACCGGTGGGGGTCTCCTTAGCAAAATTCAAATAGAGTGATTAGTTTGGGACTTGTTTCTTCGCTTCGTTCTTAGAGGACAGTCCGTAGCTCGTGTGATTGATTCAAAATGGATTTGAGGGTGAGAAAGTAAGGACTGCAGGTGGGATCCAGGAGATGACAGGAGAGAAGAGGTAGGAGAAAAAAAGATATGGGGCAGACGGGGGACAATGGAAGATGATCAGCTACTACTGGTGCTCTTAACAAAACTGTTCTGGGAAAAAATGTTAGAAAATGTCTTTGTGCCTACGGTATAAGACAGATTAAGTAAGTTATGATCTGAATGTCTGTAAAGGAGGAAGACTCAACATTTTTATTTTTCGGACATGAATCATATAGGTGTGCATGCAAACGAATATAGGCAAAAATGTAAAAAGATACACACATATGTAGATATGCCATTGTGTGTGTATCTGGGTGCACACACGTGCATATGTGCACCTTAAATAAATGAATCCATGTATAAAGGAACTGTGATATAATAATATTGATTAGCAGAACTAACCCTGCTTCCTGCCAAGTCTACCCCAAGGACAAACTAGAGCCTATTATTTTAAATTGTGGTGAAATTCAGCAGTGCATACACACAAGAAAAGATAGTGCAAATGGGAAGCTAACCACAGCCTCACAGTGGATTACTGACTGTTCTGGGGACATCAGGTCCTCACTTGCTATCCCTTATTTAGCTCATGAGAAAATAAGGCATAAAATTAACCTTTCCAAGGCATGGAACCATCCCTGCCCAACTTAATGGGCAACTAACTAATCCAAAAGGAAAACAGCCATTACTTATACAGCTATAATGTAGATGCAACATGGCATATAAATCAGTAACTCTTGTATTGCAAAACAGACAAATAGATTAATGCATGTTGCAAAGGATGGGTGAAGAGATCGATTAGGTTACTGATTCAGACCATGAACTTTCTCTCAATATACTGTATTTAACTTTTAAATAAGGTTTAGGAGAACCTGTAACATTTTGCTCACTGACAGAGCTATATTTTACTTAGGGCAGAAATTGGCTAGTCTATAAAAATTAAATTATGCCCCTTTCACTGTATCTAGTCAAGAGGAAAAACTCTAATTACAAGATTGCACTGTCAAACAAATGCAAATTCACATTCTTTATATCCTGGCTTAAAAATTCATATGGGGGGAACTTCTATTCTGAAATGAGAATCAATATTTGAAATATTTTTCGGAGTGCAGTGATAAGAGCAAAAGAAATGTCATTATCAAGGGCGCTGGTAAGTAGAAGCTAACTCATTAAGAGCAGAACTTGTGAGAACAAGTCATTTGTTATGCAAACATTTAAATATCAATTAGTAAGTACAGTGAAAGGAGGCTTTCCTTCGCCCACAGCCCAGTGCCTTATTACTCCAGAAATGACCAAGGGAAAAAAGAGCAGCGGGAAATAATCTCCGCACCTAATAGGAATGCCACTCTGGGGAATAGGTAAAGGTTAATTTTAAATGTACTTCCCAACTGAAAATTAAATGTACCTGCCTCAAAATTCATAAGAGCTGAGTTTGCAGACTTAATTCAAAAAGGACTAACTAAAGGCCTGAGCATATTGCATCGCTGGTATTTTTTTGGAAAGAGAATGCCTTTCATCACTGCTTAATGTCAAACTTGCTTGGTTCATTAAAATCTCTTAGTCTGTTAAAACCATGCTTTTCCTAGACCTATGAAAAATGCCAGTCCATACACCACTAGGCTTCAAAAATCCTACTGGTTGGTTCTCATATTCATTTAATATCCATTTTGTGGCCTGTCCAATCACCCAGTTCACTAAGCCTTTAAGGTGAATATGGTGGACATGAAGACCATCTAAATCTTTAGCACTCTGCCTGAATTCTCTTTTCAGGCAAACCTGGTGGCAGGTTTTACTATATAAGGTGCTGGCTCAGGAAAGCGGGTGCCTCTTGGTAATAGCTGGTGGATGTGGACCAGGTGTGTAACTTTTCTGGCCCTGGTCTCCCTCCTCTAGAACCCAAGTCAGTCCAGACTCAGGGCGCCCCAGAGTCACTTGGGGAGCTTCAAAAGGACCCATGCGGAGTATTTCACAGACTTAGTGAACTGGCTTGCTTCTTCAAGGGTGAGGGGAGGCATGTGGATCTCAACAAAACTTCCAGGATGATTCTGATCTGCAACCTTAACTCTGAGTCACTGGGCCCTTTCAGCTCTAATGCACTAAGTTTCTCAGAACAGTCGGTTACTGATCCAATGAAAATAATTCTGACTTTGGTTCTTAATAGTAGCATGTAACAGGTGTGACTTTTTTTTCCCCCCAGAGTGGAAAAACTAACCCTGCAGAATTAAATGCTGGGGGATTGAGGCCTGGGGGAAGAAGGGGTGCAAAAGAAGACTACCAGATTTCATGAGCTGCTCCACAGAGAGCACCCAAGAAAGGACCTGCTGCGCAGGGCATGCACACTCTTAGGACTGTGATGATTGCACTACCTGTGGTCATGTCAAGGTCAAATCTTAGTTTGGCTCTCCCATCCCTGCCAGCACGAAGGGGGTTAAGAGTCACTTACATTGACTGGTCTCACCACTGCAAGGGGATGAAAATGGAAGTGCCTTGGGAGTAGCACCCCCCCAGACATTGCTCTTTTGACGCAGGAATGTGCATTTGGCTGACTTCTACTGAATTCAGGCTTAGAAGGTGTGTCCCTCCCCTTCTAACAGAATTTTCCTTGGAGTCCGTCAACTGTTTCTGTTTTTCAGACTTCACAATTGGGGTTGCTTTATTATTTCACCCACTGTCCACCCTCTGGCCTCTGACATATGGCTGGAGGAGCCTAGTTTGGAGAGAAGGTGCCCATCTTGATCCAATGAAGAGCAACTTCAGGCCGGGCGCTTAGAGACTGGGTGCTAAAGGTTCCCGTAGATAGGATCAGCATTATAATGCCTGCTCTGCCTTTTTTACAACATTATTTGGAGGAGAGAATAAAGGAAGAGGAAAAACAGCACTTGGAAAATGGAGTGTGTGGTCTTTATCTTACATATACTTCTAGAGAGGAAGAAATATCTCTCTGAAAAAGGGCACCTCATTTGGCTGTAGTTTGGTTCATATCTTTTTCTCTCCTTGTCTCAACCATATCCCAGCTGATAAAACATGAAACCCAGATAAGCAGTAGCCTAGAGGATCCCAAGGAAGTTCCTAATGTGTCCACAGTTTATCCTTATTTTTTTTCTGGCTCTAAACTACCGCCTGGAAGAAAGCTGCAAATATTTGAAAACAAAAACAAAAAACACTGAAGAGTTCAGAATGATTCCAACTGAAATCACAGCAGTTCCTCTGGTAAGAAGGCAAATTTTTGCTCAGGTAAAATGCTCAGGAATGAAACACAAGGAAAAAAGAAACAACTCATCAAAATCATAGCTATCAATCTTAGCTACAGTATCGTCACTAAATTTTGTTTGGCTCTTGTAATAGCCCGAATCCCAGGACAAATGACAAAACAACGCATGCTGCTTTTCTTGGGACAAGTTATTCTTGAGAGCAATTAGGTCTCAGACTTCCCCAAAGAGCGATTTTGGTGGAAAGAAACCACACCTAATGACCTATAAGGAACAGCTTTTAAAACTGCCCAAGCACACCGCGTCACGGCACAGTGATGAGCTGGCTCTCTGCTCCTCCAATATCCCTGTGCTTGGCAACAGGGCATTTCCAGGCCCCTCTCTGACAAGAAACTACTTTTCCAAGACGCTGCCTTGAAAACTGGAGCCATTCATTTGCTAGTGGATTAAGAGAATCACTTCACAGATTTAATCCCTTCAACCAAAAGCTCTGTGGGCCCCACAGTTCAGCAAACTCAAGGGGGGGGGGGGGCAGCACTTTGGTTAAATCCACATCAGTCACCACATGATGCTATTGCCCCTTTTTTTATTATCCTGAAAAGGGCAAGGTCTCCCTTGATGGGTTTGACCTTGGACCTGAAGCTAGAGTTCCACCCATTCCCCCCAAGTTTCAGGTGCACTTGTAGGGGACTCTGACTTCTGGTAAGACTATTGGGAGGGGCTGGGGAGGTCCAGGTCAGGGAGAAGACTCTGGTCAGCTGGAGTAAGTGAGGTTTGCTCTCCCAAGACCCCCTTCTCTGCATAGAGCCCTGCACCTCTCATCAGCCAGCCAGCAGCTAAGCTTGTGGGGCTGGGAACTACATTCCTTTGAACAATCTTGGCAATTTGTGCCAGGAATTTGATGCAGTAGCTCTGAAATTAAATAAAGATCCTGTAGTGTTCTTCTAAGAAATATGGCGTGGCTCTATGACAAAACACATTTTTCAAGCTCTGACCTCTGGGAACTCCAACTAGCTTCATATTTCAGGCTGACACTGCTCACAGGCTACTGTCTAGTTGCCCAAGCAGAGCTGGTTATCCATATATTTTCCAGCCTCCTGATCAGCTTTTAGCAGAGGGAGGTGAGGGGGGTAAATAAAGAGAGGAGAGCCACTACTTTAAATGCACTTCCCCTCCTGAGTCCCTTGGGGAGAAGCCCTGGTAATTAACTCTAATGAGATTAAAGTAACTTGGAACTCTTCATTTTGCCAGCACTGTAAATCTGTGATAACCAGTGTGTGTGCATTAAATCAAAGTCCGTCCCTTTTCCTGTAATGTAATGCCCCCCCCATCCCCCAACTCCTACCCCTGGCCGAGGCTGGAGAGGGGTGGGGGCTACCGGGTTCTTACCCGCACTTTGCTCCATCACTTCTTTCTGACACATGTCTTGAACATTGACCGTGCAATTCACGATGAACTCGGGGGAGGAGCAGTCGTTGTTCAGCTGGAATTCTTCACACTGATAACACTGGATTTGCAGCGCAAAGCCTGTGGGGACAGACGCAGTCGGGGTCAGATCCAGCCCCCACAGAGACCACACCGGAAACCGCGACCCTCCTCGGCCCCAGCCAGCCACGGATCCCGACCCCTGGCGTTCTTGGGCTCGGCGACCCGGGGGTCTCCACGTAAGGCGGCTGTGGCTGAAGCCGGCAGGGGGCGGCGCGGACACCGAGGGTCCCGCAGGATTCCGTTCAGTTCTGCCTGAGACCCCTGGACCAAATGTCCAGAAATAAAGCGCCCGTCCTACACCGCACCTGGCCTTTCCCCCACGGAAGTTGAAAGGACGGGTACACAAGTAGCTCCAGAGACAAGCTTCAGCTCCAATCTACAGCACAGGATTTGCCTAATTGTTAATTGGTTACAAATTGCTTAATTACTATTTTGGCACCATTCGCGATTGCATTCGCAGACGCCTTTTTAGTTTTAATTTTTGTCGTCAGCGTTCCTGTGCTGTGGCTCCGAGGCTCCCCACGCGACCACCCAGGAACCCAGGAGGCAGTGCCGGGCGCCAAGTGCTGAAGCGCCGCGAGTCCCCGGCCTTTCTTCGGGACAGTCCCCGCAGCAGCAGAGGGGACCACAGCGTGTACAAGGGGCGTGTGTGTGTGTGTGTGTCTGTGTGCGCGCGCGCACCCCGAGCCGCGACACAACCACCATTTCTTCCTGGCTTTCAGGGCAACCGTTTGGCTAGGGTCCCCGGTCGGAGTCCCAGCTCTGCAGCGCTCGTTCGAGAGCCGTTCGCTTAACGGGGAGGAGCGAGACATTTTCGCACCTCTCATCGCCCGAGCCTGGCTGCTCTGCTCGGATCCAGGAGCTCCTGTCTAGACCTAACTCCTCATGCTCCCGGACAGACAAGCCCCGGACCCCGCGCTTTCTCCCATCTCCACGACGGTTGCGCTCTGAGCGCGGCAACTCAGCTCCGGAGCGCCCCGGCTACAGGCTGCCCCGCGCGCCGCTCACCTGTCGGCGGCGCCACTCCCACGGGTTCCTGGAAACGCCGGGTAACTTGGCGGGGTCAGGGGCTTCATCGCCCCCTCCCCCTCCGCGAGGCCCCAGCACCGCTCAGACCCTCCCTCCTCCCCAGCTCTGCTTGCTCTCCCAACCGCGCTAGCCCGAGCATCTGCAGCTCGAGTCCCGCAAATCCGCCGCTCCCGCCTCTCCTCCTGCAGCGCGGGACTTGGAGACTTTCCCATCCAGCGCCTCTGGGCACCAAGACCAGTCGCCGCCGCCAAACTCCCGCTGGGCAACCCCTGCGCAGCGCGGGCCCGGAGGTGGGTGCCCGGGGGGGGGGGGGCGAAGGGGCGGGCGGGTAGGTGGGGTGTGCGCGCCTGGCGGGGCTGCCGGCCTTTTCGTTTTCTTACCTTGAAGCAAGAACAATCCGCAAAAAGTTGCTGCGATGCCGAGGACCCACATCCTCCCGGAGCCGCGGAGCCGGGAGAGGGCAGGCGCATCAGAGGCGGCGACCGCGGCGGAAGCTGCCCGGGTCGCAGCGGCTGTGGCTGCGGAGGCTGCTGGGGCCCGCGCTCCTGCCGCCGAGGCCACCGCCGCCGCCAAGAGGAGCCGCAGGTGCCGCCGGCGGCGCCAGCATCGCCCGTGCCCGGGCTCCCGGCTGCGGGTCGCCGCTCCTCCCGCTGGCGCTCCCGGGCAGAGCGCGGCGGCTCCGGAGTTGGCGGCTGAGAACTGGAGGAACTACTGGCGAGCCGGAGCACCCAAAAAAAGTCTCGTCTCTTCTCCCCACCTCCCACTCCAGGCACCACGTGACGGCTGCCGAGTTGGGGTGGGGGTGGCGGGCGAGGAAGGCTGGGACTGTCTTTCCACGTCCCCACCCCCTTCCTATCGCCCTCGTCTCCCGCCTCCGCACGTCCCCAGGACAGGGACGCCAGGGGGAGAGGGAGAGTGTAGTTTCCCGAGGTTGGGAGGCTGGGGATTGGGAAAGCGCGAGGAGGGCGCAGCAGGTGCCGCGGGGAGTGGCCGGGCGCTGACTGCGGGACCTGCGAAGTGGGGTCGAAAGACTGCGTGCTCAGCTGGGCCCTGCGTTCCCCGGGGCTGTCCGTTCGGCTGAGGTTGCTGCGAGGCTGGCAGCGGGAGCCCCGAGCCGGGGACGGCTGGCTGGAAGGGGACGTGCTCGCGTGCGCCTGGCAAAGTTGCACACCTGCAGGCTCCCTGGGGGGGTCGGTGCAGCTGCGCCTTTTTGTTTTTCTCCTCCGAGAAGCCCCTGGTTCATGACCAGGCTTGGCTTCAGCTGCGGCAGGGCGGGCGGGGTGTGGTGAAGACCCTGCTCTGACGCGCGCGTGTGCCCCGGGCAGCCCTCCTTCCCCTGCCAGCGCGCACAGCTGGAGGGTGCAGTGACACCGCGACGGTAGCCTAGCCTAGGACCGGGCGGTCCCCGGGGACAACTGTCGCGAGTTCCCACCAGAAAGCAAATCGGGGTGAAGAAGGGAATTGCTGTCCTCTATCCCGTTTCTTCAAAAGGCCGGGCATCTTCATCGCCTCAAAGTCACGGGTTATTAGTACATACTCCCGTGTCCTCTCTCAGTCTCAGGCTGCCCGGGGTCCCTCTTTTAAGTCCCCGCCCCATTCCCCCGTCTCAGTCAAGCGACCCACCTTGAGTGCTCCCGGGACACCACGGTGCTAAGTTCGCCTTCCTTGGAGCTGAGCCTTGCAGCAGGTGGTGCGGGAGCCTCTGCGCCCCCACTCTCAATCCCGCACGTTGCCACCCCTGTCCCCTCAGTCCTTGGGGAGAATCCTGTGGAAAGAGCTTCATAAGCTTTGCCTCTCTTCACCCTCGTGCGCTTGGGCCACCCCCTGGAGGAAGCTCTCTCAGGCCAGGCCGCTGATTATTTATTTCCCCATCCTGCCAGCACAGTAGGTCTGGAAATAGGCTTAAATGACTTTCTTGTAATTCCTTTGCAGAGATCGTTCCAGATCTGCCTCAGGCTCCTTCTCTCCCTTTGCCCCCCCCCCTTTCATTTCTAGTTGGTTAACCCCTTGGGGAGACTGAATGCTTTGACCATTACCTGCTTGTCTGCAGACTCTGATCTTAACAATTGGCTGAATTACTATCTCTGGAGCAAAGGGGCCAGTTTATTTATTCCTTCCGGGAATTGATTGTTGTAGCATGTGTGAGATTCAAATAACTGGGCCAAAGGGTTCTTGAACAAGTCCTTTTAAGATTTCAGAGGGTGCAACTGTGATACGACTTTTATTCAGAAATGAAACAAGAATTTTTAAAAGTCTGAAAGACAATGATACTTTACATAATTTTCATTTAAGATAACAAAATTCAATATAACAAATTGCACAAATTAACCAAATAACACTGGTTATACAACGCTCTTTTAACAAACAAGTGTGTACTGAAGTAACCAGATAGATCCTAAAAATTTTTCTATTAGGCCTAGTTTACAAGCTCCTGTACAAAAGCAATTATAAATAGTTCACATCTAGAAAAAATACAAATAACCTTTAAAATAGAATTTATCCTCACATATAAACAGGCTTTGTAGGGGAAAAAAAGGATCTTAAAAAGTAAGATTTCTTTTTTGTAGCACCAACCATTCATTTTATTTTTTAAAAAGTGAACGTTATAGATAGGAATTTGCTTTCATTTCTAGATTGCCCAGATTTTAATCGAAAGAGCAGGAAGATAAAAAATCAACAAATGCTGTTGAGAATTATGGAGAAGCACTAAGTAGAAGAGGATGTAAGGAAATGTTTGGAGGGAAAACCTGCAGTTGAAAATAGAATTAGGTCACTTCTGATCCACTTCCCTTCCCATCAGTGTCACACTTTGAGTACCTGTTACATTTTTCAGTGGAAGCAGAATTAACACTTACTACTGGAACCTGAATCTCTCTGGCAACAATTTTGAAATAGCACTGGAATTAACGTTCATATCACGTTGAGATTGTGAGTTGGAGATAACCACGAGCCCTCTGGTTTTTGGCGGGGCTGGGTTTTAGCGTTACGGAGTGTTCCCGCAAACAACTTGAGTACTAGGACAGTGAAGTCTACAAACACCTTCGCTGGAATTTTTAAAAAATATATTATCAACTTCTAACACTTAGTACGTCATTTCAAGAGCATGGCACGGATTCAATTTATTGCTGTCTTTTTTTTTTTTCTACAAATATAATTTCTTTTCCAAAAATTTACAACTTCTGTACAAGTATTCAAAAAAAAAGTGCAAAATTAAGACTTCTGTATTGTGGGTGTGTTTACATTTCATCCTCGTGACACACAACAAATGGAGCCTATCTTTATTGCCCTGTCAGAGAAGGAAGCTCCCATGGGTTGCTTGCTGTGAATCCGACAATGCAGTCTCTGGTGTTGCCAGGGTTTACTGGTGCTGTCTCTATTCCCCTCCACACACACCCCTGTTGCTTAAGTGCTCCATTTTTCAGCTCACTAAGGAAAAAAAAAGGTCCTTTATACATCATTTGAACCCTGACTTGCACAAGAAGAGAAGCTATCGTATAAAGAATCACTCAGTGATTCCAAATTGTCTACCCCAGGCCTCTCTGAGCTACTCAGAGATGCCTCTTCATTTTTTTCTTTTTCTTCCTTTTGTCCTTCAACCTTGTTCAGAGAGTTCTTCTCGCTTTCTAACAAAATCACAGTTTTGCTGTTATATTTATTGAATGACTCCAGGGAAATTTTAGATAATCTATTCTCAGTATCTTCTTTTGTTTCTTCAACTTGTTTCAATTTCTGTAATAAAAAGACGAAAATATTAGAGACATATTTCTTTGGAAAATCAAGTTATTCTATCCAATATTCAATTATTGTCTGCATAACGTGCAGTTTAAAGGGATAGAGAGAACCTACAAGTCTTTAACAACCTTCTAGTATAATTAAAGGTAATAATAAAGCCAATTTGAGGGATAAATCAAGACTTTAATCATTTTACTGAGATAAATAGGTCCCGATTTGCAAACCGGTAAAGTGCCACTTAATTTCATTTTAAATGGATCTACTCAAAATCTGTTCAGGTAAAGTGCCTTATATGTCTTCACCAAAGTTTCAAACTCCTCTCTTTTCTTACTAAGTATTATTAGTTGTCTTGTTTCTAGATATGGATAGGGATTGAATTTCAGCCAGAAATTGGGATTGTACAGGGGGAAAAAGGCATACAATCCCTTAAATTGCCTTGAAATTTCAATACCTGTTAGACTTGTCAGAAGCATTGTCATCTTTCTGTTTTGTCCCTTTACAAGTCTTAAGATATTTGCAAGTGATCTCCAGGTCTGTGGGTATAGACTCCAGAAAGCCCAAGGGCTTAAAAAAAACATAGTACTGCTTCTGCCCATTAGTAACCTCTCCCCTCCAGGAGGCTCCAGCAAGACCAATTACTGGATGTCTCTAGGACTTTCTAGAACACTGCAGTCATATTCAATTATTCAATTATTGTAGGTAAACTCTGTAAACCAATGCATTTCCTAGCTCCTTTTCCTCTTTTGGGCAAAAATTCTATCCAAACACCAGGAGGAAGTAGGGACAGGGGCTTAGAAGTAATAATAGCTACCATTTATTAAGCATCCACCATATAAAACTCACTGAATATATTTTCTTTAGAAGCATTTCACAGGGGACTTGCAAGTTACACATCCTCATTTTAAAGACGAAAACAAGGCTCAGAGTGACAGAGTTATTTGCCCAAGGTCACACAGCAAGTGACAGAGAACAGGATTTGAATTCCAGGCTGGCTGCCTTTCATGCTTTTGTTCCTACTAAACCGTGCTTTTATGTAATAAAAGACAAGATGTCTTTTTTTCCCACCCAAATATTCTACTTAAATAACTTGCCAAACCATCTCTATTGCTACCGTCCCAGACTCTGACAAAAGCAATTCTGTTCTCCAACCCGTCCCCCACGTTGTTATGCTGGATGCACAAAGGTACAATGAGGGAACTGTTTTGATCCAGGGAACAACACACATCCAGGGAACAACATCAGAATCAAGCCTCTGATTCTCATATGCTAAATATTTAATAGGAAGAGAAAAGAAAAAGATATGGCAGTGGATGGCCCTGGTGTCCCAAGAGCAGACTGAGACACAGTTTCTCTTTCCATTATGGAAATGACACAATTCTGTAGAAATATTTTAAAATCATCCTTGAAGTGGTGCTTACTGCATTATACAATTAACATACAGGAGCATTACTCACAGAGTTCATTTTCAAACTCAAATGGCTGCCTTGAAACCAGAAGCTTGAAACAAGCTAAGGAACAGATTTCTAGGTGCTTCCAGAAAAGAGGCTCCATAATTAGGTATAACACCATGCAAAAGCCCCTTTTCATACCATGCCAATTTTTAGACTTAAAAAAAAAAAAAGACTTATTTATTTGAGAGAGTGAGCACAAGCCACAGGGGCAGGGAGAGGGAAAGAGTATCTCAAGCAGGCTCCACGGAGAGTGTGGAGCCCGACACGGGGAGTGTGGAGCTCGACTCGGGGCTCGATCTCACACCCTGAGATCACAACCTGAGCCGAAATCAAGAGTCAGAGGCTTAACCCACTGTGCCACCCAGGCGCTGCTCCTAGGCATTTTTAATAAAGAGTTATATATAGTACAATACTAAAAATACCCAGAGAGCAGGAAATGCTTTGATGTACCAAATGCCGGTAAATAAAGATGTTTATTGCAATTTTCTCCCTGCCTGAATATCTTCTCCCTTTTTCTTTATTCAA